CCCATCGGTTATTCGTAAGTTTCCTCCGTGACGTGCGCAAGTTTATTTCATATGAAACCCGAGCAATTGTCATATATATGTTATTCGCGACGTTGATGAAAGAGTTCAACAATAAAATTCCCCATACAACTATATACATATATTCCAAGGCGGATCGTAAAATTCCTCTACGCACGTCGGTTGCTCCAAGTTTTCGAGTTTCACTTTTGCCATGGAGCTTACGGTTCCGTGAGCTCACCGGATGGCAAAAAGTCAATGAGGCGGTTGCGATAAGGGTGCGAGAGGGCATGGGTGTACGTATCACGGTCGTTAAACGCACCTTCTCAGCGTAACGATGTCATGGGAGGAGTGTCTCGGGCTCAGCCTGGGCGGCCTCGTCTTAATAGGCGATGGAGTCGAGAGCATCCTGCGGTAATTGTGCGCGTGGCTGTAGACAGACCTCGTGTCCCACTGGAGTAACCTCTGACCTCCTAAATCGCTGTTCGTCCGACGTACATGCTGGTGCCTCGACGACGTTCGACTCTGCAGATCCGCCTGAAAGTATCACACAACACCACGGTTACCGATCCTGTTCACCTTTTGCCGCCGTTTCGAAGCGGGAACCGCGACTCCTCTGGGCGTGACCCCCCGAGAAGATCGATCGGCATGAAGCTGTTTTCGCCAAGCTGGTGTACACACTCGATTCCTATTTCTGTTTAGAAACACCGTTGAAATTCCGTTAACCTGTTCACTGGATGATTTCATGGCCACGTATAACTGTACGGATCGGCGCTACGTAGAATGTTACTGTAAACATTGGCGTATTTTCGAATCGTAACAATTTCCGAAAGGTGATATGCAAAGTGTAACGTAAGCTTCTTTGGTTCTTTATCTCACTTGCACTTGAAATTTAACCGCGTAGCGTCTGATTTTTTTAGTAGTATTTGAAACATTTTTTTCTTAAAATTTGTCTAGCTTCGATACGTACACAAATAGAGGACAACTATAAGGGAACAAAATGTTCCCATGATAAATACAATTCTAGTTTCGATAACCTTCCCGTAGGTACAGTTTAATACAAGAATCTTTTGTCGAATAAGGGAATCAACGGACAAAGATAAATGTAAAACGCGAGTATACTGTGTAGTCATCCTCGTTTAACAGGTTAATGAGACGAGTAATGGAAAATTGTAACGGTTAATTTAGTCACAAATGGCAAATGGTTTAGTTATTTTCCTTTTTACTCACAAATCGTAAGATGAGAAATTTCATGATTCTACGGTTTCCCGTTTACATTTTTACGCCGACTGCCCTTCGGTCGAAGAAAGGGGGGAAACTCATCGAACGGCGCAGGAGGCAACTAAGTACACAATTCTTCGAACACGTACCCGTGTGTTGCCCGTACGGTCACGCAGATCGGAATAAAGTAAACGATGGTCGAACTATGACTCGACATTCGTAAGAGATCGTATAAATCGTGTACGGTCGGCCGCGCGACTCGATATCAACTAACCAGGACTGCGTTTCCTCTCCGCGTATCCTGGCTAACGCGATATATATTCTCTCTCGTCGCCTATCAGAGACTGCCAGTGATCTGTACGAGCGTGGCTAAACCGTAAACAAACGTGAGTAATGCGAGTTATTGTTGCCGAAGGAAACAGTCATACGTGCTGCTTGATAATGATTACAAATGTGTGACGCTCTCAATAGCAATTATAAATCATCGGCGCGTCGCGTCGTAGCGAACGGAAATCGCGCTAAAATTAAAAACGGGAGGACCACGATGATTTATAATTGGGTGAGCCGAGTTTGTGTCTTTCGGAAGCAGAAGCGTACGTATTCTTCAACATACTTCATCCTTGTTACCAGAATTGTTAGCTATTGTGGTAAATTAGTCGTCGCGCGGAGAAAGCGTACCGCATCCGTTAACACTTCGGCCATCGCTAAATTAGCGGTACGTAGAAAAGGAAGAATTTTAATTTCCAACTGATCGGGAAATAATTTTGAATCATACGAAGGGTTCTGTGTACGCCGAGTTCGAATGTTAGATGCGAAATACTTTTCCTCCTCGGTGTGATGTGCTCCATTGACAATGTTAAGTACATATAAAGCGGTAATAATGTTTTCCAGGTGACTGATGCTTTGTTACTCGTGCTGTGAATGATTGAAATAATGAACACTGCGCTCAGCGGGAATCGGGGGTGGGCAAAGAACAATAGTCTTTACCTTAAACTTGTCGATCAGTATCTGGTTGATGAGCTCGGACTGGGGCCGTGATTTGTCGGCGACTCGCCTACGAAGGGCTGGAGGGCTGTCGGTCTCGTCTTGGACGTCCGTGTCGTGGGACTCAGAGCTATCACCGCCCCCCATCATTCCACCACCACTGCCCCCAGTCAATGCTCCACCAGATACCATCTATATCGTTTATAATTCATTCCATTATTTCATACTTTTGTCGTGGCTTCCTTCGATCGGAACAACGCTTCGTGAAAAAGAAGATTCACGGGATATAACCGAGTATCGAGATTACAAGGTGAGTCACAGAAACCATTAAAAAGTTCGTATCTCTGAAGTTAACGTGCAACGAGGTATCGAAAAACCTGATAAAACTTCGACGATTTTCAAGAATAGATTGTTCAATCTATCGCAGAGTTTGTCAGCTGAAGTAATTTCTAAAATGTTTCAAAGCACGGGCACTGATATTCTCTTGTGATTCGATGGCATTGAAGCTTCACGGACGAAAAGAATGTGCACGTAAAAATATATTGGTCGCGAAACGCTTTTCATCGCGATACAATGAATCGCTTATTAAAAAGGAACACAGAACGCCTGCTTTATTAAAAATAACAAAACTGCTATAGGCAATGCGACTCTTACAACTGTATAAAAGACATAGGAAATAATTCCTGAATATCCGATTTTCTCTGACATACACCAGCTTATAATAATTTATGTCACTCATCTTGTCTCATCCGCTCGAAGTCACAAGAACTCTTGTGAACGTCGCCTTGAAAAACAGTGAAACGTTACGCGCATCGTTTATTTAGACGTCACGTAGATAAATCGCCTATCCCCTTTCTCTCCCGACTAAAAAGTAAACTTGAAGGCCAAGAAACGAAAACAGTGATTCCCGTATATCCTCTCACCTCGATCTGTATCCCGCTGTCCCCGCTGTTGCATTTCGCATTTCTAGCTGCCTTGCTGCCCTTTTTCCTTTCCTTGCTGCTCCTCCAAACGAGAGGGCCGAATCTGAAAATCGAACATTCGTTATCAGTTGAATTCCTATTTAGCGGAATCGCGGGGCTTGGTATCGATCGAACCGTTCGACAGACCGGAATTTTTGGTCGTTGCTGGTGTCCTCCTTGTGCTGAGGCGTTTGATCGGCGACAATCGTCTGTTCCCGTTCCTCCTCCTCGTCCAGGGGCCCGGAACCGTCGTTATCGTCCGGCGGACACTCGCTCTCGTTGCTCTCCTTGCTGCCCTTTTTGTGGAATCTCAAGGAGAAGCTCTTCCTGAATTTCTGCAGAACGCTTTCTTGCTGGCTCTGCGTGCTCGACCGGGAGGGATTCTGGACGCCGGAAGCGGTCACGATATTGCCACTCAGGTTGGAGGGCTGTTCTTGGAGACGCGAATGGGAGACCAAGGGGATTGTCGCCTCCGCCAGAGGATGCTCGGTTGTTACGTGACCGGTTGTACCCTCGTCCTCCTCGTCCCCCGACCACTGCCGACTGCGCACACAACAACGAGACGAGACGTTATTACCAGATATTTTAGACTTTTATCGCCGGCTTTATTCCTAACCTGTCCGCAGATTAAACTGGATCAAACGGGCCAGTGTTTCGTTCGTAAAATGAGGAATATGTGTTCCCATGGCAGAAAATTGCTTATTTCGACACCGGCGATACGATAAAACACGCTGACTTATCAGGCCGTAGATCTTTACACAGATCAGCATTTTACGAAGTGGTTAAGAGGAATCTACGTATTTATTTCCAAGTAGAACGGAGGATTGCTAAGGAACAATCGCACTTTATTATTACTTACCTATCTCGATTCTAATATAATTCACGTAAAATTGAATTCAACGAGACCGGCTAATCGTGTATTTAACGCGAGCATCCCACAAGATTCACCGTTTACCAACCGCTCGCGATTAAGACTACCCTCATTAACTGAATTAAGCGCGGGTCGTTAGTGCCTATAATTTCAAAATCAAAATGCTTGAATGCACATATCGTTTGTCTCCCTTTGTTGCGAAACAGTGTCGTTTCAATAGGCTACCAGTCGTTAAACGTTGAAAAGCCTATTGACAGGCTTTCGTTCGCAGTACTAGGAAGTGTCAACGTTAAAAAACTAAACTCCCGATGGGAAAAGATCCGAGGACGACGCGAACGTTCGCGTCGAACAGCGACGTTGGTGGTTCACGCCTAGGTTCAGCTTAATCCTGGCTCGATTAAACTTTTGCGTCCGCGGCGCGCCGCGATCGATTCAATTATCCGTTTAATCAATGGACCATTGTGATCGCGAGTGGAAAATAATTTACAGGCCGCGGGAAACTTAACACCGCTCCTTCCCGCTGCGACTCCGCGGGGTACCCATCGTAAAATTGATAGATCACGATGGCGCGCCTCGCGGTCTCGCGTCCGCGCCGCGATTTATGCATGTAAATAAATACCTGGACGCCGAGAACGCGCGCCAGCTGACGAAGTGACTGTCCGTAGGCTGCGTAACGGAAACGGCGCGGCGCGGCGCGGCGCGGCGCCGTCACGGAACGGGTTCGAGCAAAATCGAGTCCAAGGGACGCCTTTGAAAACGGAAACTCGCGGTTCGCGGCGAACTACGTTTCGAAACCGTTTCGCGGACGCCGGTGTTCGATTACAATTTCACGAACCGTGATACCCGCGTATCGTGTTCCCCGAATACGGCCGCTAAGCAGCGGCTAAACTTTATGCTAATTGCATACCGTTTTCATAATGCGCCCGGTGATTCATGGTGAATGGGCGTAGCTTCGGAAATCAATTTATCATATAACCATAACGCAGCGAACTTCGATGCACCGTAATAACGACTTGGAAACGCTTGATTATTCAACGGGACTTGTTGTAGGGATTTGTTGATTAATAAATTTCGATTAGGATGAGCGGTTCAATTCGATCGGTAAGATGCGAATCGAAAGTGTTTTTCTTCCTTAAACGTGAACTTTTAGACAGTTTTTGTAATAGATTCTGGCAACGAACGAAGTCTGAAGAAGGTTCTCCGTTGAGATTGAAGTCGTTTGAAAGTGTAACAATAGTTCACTGTCGACGCTTCGGAGGATAATTATTCCTTTGTCGAAGCGGATAATGCGTTTCAATGCGGAATTAATTAGACAAATTCAGGTGTTTCTATTCAAATTAGTGGGTGATTCATGGGGTCGACGAAGTTAGGAGGGTATATAAAACGTTTTTAATTTCATTCGTTCAATGTGAAGACAAATGGCGCTTGCAAAGACGTTTTCATTTTTCCAAAGAATTACCAAGTTTTTCATTTACATTGAACTATCCTCCGCGTTTTGATCGAATAGTCCACTTCATTCGATACGTTTACCGAGCATCTAATGCTCGTTTTCATTAACACATAATTCCTCTTGTCATTCCATCAGTTCTACCTAACACGGCTTTTTTTGCCGCTGGAAACGCGGGAGCTATGAATTAAGAACGATACAACAGATGTTATGATTTCTCATGTTTCAGTCACTGTTTTTACGTTCGCTCCATTATCCGTGTCGAATAAGTGGAAAAACATGGCGCGGTGTCACATACCACATCATAGAGACGATTTTGATCGAGTTTCTCGCTGCAGAAAGCGGTTTTATTCGACGCGTCTCGTTGCCGCCAGCTCGAACAACATTTTCAGCTTTCCGAGGTCTTCCTTATCCTATTTGTTCCTCGACTCCTTTGAAATACGTGGCGCGAAATACTCCTCTTCGACAGACAGTTCCAGGTTTCCGTTGAGAAACGATACAATGGGAATCGTCTGATTAGATCCGCGAAAATATCAGAGAGGAACTCGTTCGCCGGGCTCGTGTCGCTCGGTTTAACACGCGGAGAGCGCCACGAAAATGATTATGCACACGAAGAACCACTTGCAACCACTTTTAGACAGGAAATGCGTCGAGTGACGGTCCGCAGACGACTGAAACCTTCGTACGGCGCACCAAACCGCGTCCATGTGTTGTCTCACCGTGTGTCCCAGCCGTACGCCCGCACGCACACGCCGGCATAACGATATTCATGGAAACCTTCTCGCATTAGAATTTATTCCACGATAAAGGTCCAACCGCTCGCGCCCGAATGAGGAACCGTCACTTGTTGATCGGGGGAAAACGATCACGTACACGCACCTCCGTCGAGCCGGAACAAATCGGACTTCCTCTGGGACCGTTCGAAAACGAAGTACAAACCGAATACTCTTTCACATTCAAGCCTCTCTTACACAGAAATGAAAATCGACACGCGACTCGTTTAAGGGCGCAAACCGTCACTTGTTGATCAAGGTGACCAACACGCACCTTCCCCTTTGGTCACCGAAATGGAACAAACCGATCCTCCTCAGAGATTCTTCAGAAATAAAACATAATCCATCCGATGCAACAAATACGTTCGAGCCTCTCACAGAATAAAAGTGAAAACGCAAGGGTGGAAACTTTCACTTGTTGATCGAGGGAATATATCGCCCTCCCCCCTGACCATCGAAACGCAGTAAAACTTTCCCGGCGCGATTCAAAAACGAAGCACGAACGTCTCGATGGGATGAGTATATTAAAGTCTCTCTCTTTCGAGTGAAAATTAAAACACAAGTGGCTGAAGGGTGCAAAACTCCTACAGCCGCGGACGGAAGCTACTAGAGGAAAGTGTCGCACTCGTGTCCGATTCGTGGAGAGGAAGAGGCGTGCGAAAAGCGGCGTCGGAGGAGGGCCGCCTCTCGAAAATAAGAAAATCGCCTGGAACCACTCTCCCACAGGAAGTGCATTGAACGACGAGCTGCGGGCGACTGAAGGCTCTGCGAGCGGCCACACAGGCCCACGCTGCTCTCACGTGCTGCTGCACGTGTTTATGTGTGTGTGTGTACGTGTGCGTGGCCGGCCGAGGGTTTGTGTGGCACGGTGCACCTCGTGAACTCTTCCGAGAACAGATTTCAAGGGTCGCTTCAGGTATAAACCGAGGGTTGCACGCTTCCCCCACCTTCCCTGCTGTCGCCGTTCTTTTCTCTTTCGTTTTTTCTTCTCCGCTCCTCTCCTTTCACCGAGTTTCTACCCTCGTTTCCTCCTTCGTTCCCTCGTGGGCGGGTAGAGGAGCGGCCAAGGAGAGCCGTCGGCCTCCACAAAAGGTACCATTTATCCATTGTAGTGACAGTGGTCCGGCGCTGCTCTTCTTCACGTTCCCCCGTTTAATCGGCGGAATTTTTACCATCCCTCGGACACGCCGCCACCTTCCACCTTACAAATTTGACACGCTGCACCCACCGCCGCGTTCTGTCATTCTCGCTAATACCGCTAGGCGCTCCGTCCCTTTTTGTTCTTGCTCCGCATCCTCCGGTTTTTTCCCCGCTTCCTGGTATCCCTTTATTTCCTGACCGTGTCGTTTACCGACTCGTTTCGGTATCGACTTCTTCGATCTCCGCTCGACCGAAACGGTTTACGACGGATCGAGTTTTTGGTGTTTAAACGTTGATTGTGAGACTCTGGGGCTATGGATTGTGAAGTTTAAGTTTCGAAAGGGGTTTGAATGTCATTGGTCGTATGAGTGTCACGTGGAGATACTTGCGTGTTTAATATTAATATTTTTAAGTTCAGGCGTAAAATGTCTTGCTACTCGGAATTTGGCTTATCAGTTACAATGCTTATTGACTGTTTTATTATTATTGGAGTCTTGTGTTCCAACAGGAATAACGACTGCCTCAAGAATTTTCGTAATAATTGCTTTGCAACTAGCCGTTTATTATGGGAGATACGGATTTCTAAAATTAGTTTTTGAGAAATCAATCCTGATCTACGGAGTTGGGAAAATGTTTCAGTTAAAGGGAAAGAGGTTTCTCACGAATGTGACGTAAGTTGAAACGAAGCTGACGGCTTCGTGCTCCGTGAGAATTTCGTAAAGCTGTTGGTAAGCGGAAAGCTTGAAAAGAACGGTCACGTTCGTAACATTATTATTTTTTTATAAGGCGCCAGTCTCCCGGCAACCTCTGCCACCGTTCCACCCCCGATTTATAACTTGTGTGCGCCGAGGCGCGCAGCACGAGTGCGCTATAACTCCTTTTTATCGATTTGTGTACAGATCCCGTGTCGGTTCGCGTGTGTGTTATAATTTCAGCCCTCGCCGATATTACCTGGAAGTTGGAACGACCTTAGTGTTCCACCTGCGGCGAAAGTATTTTTTAATCGTTCTTAATTAATGAACCTCCCTTTCTTGGAACTTCACCGAAGTTGCTTTTTATTATCCTCAACGATAAATTGACAACGAAGTGTCATATTGTTTTCCAAAAATGAACACTGATAAAAATGACAACATGAATTTTTATTAATAAAATCTACACCTTATAAAATATAAAATACAATTTACTTACATATTATTGATTCGATTATTACCCCAATGAATATTATCAAAATTGCGAGCAGCTATGGCAGAATGAAATCATTCAATTATTAATACTAAATTCTTCAATACTTCTACTAGGATCCCAACGACATCGCGAATTCTCGATTCCGCCCGCGGGGATGTTTTAAAACCCCGTATTTGTGAATTCAGGGTGAAGGGTCGATAAAAGGAAACTTCATAATTCTTCCACACGCTCGGGGTAAAGTAGAAAGTTTTCAACATCTGGTAGTCGGGGAAAAAAAGTTTCGCTTCCGAATACATCGCCGGATGAGCCAAGACTGCGGCGCAGGATATTAAAAGCTAATGCCTCGCCCTGGAACAGCCTCTTGAGGATCGTCTATTTCCTACGCGTCGAATTAGCAAATAATCCGGAAGGATGATTTAAAACCGCCCTTCGACCATGAACGGCGCATTTAGGACAAAGGTGGAACGAAGGAAACGACTTCAGGTAATCGAGACGAATGGCGGCAACTACGGTCCAAGAGAAAAACTCAAATCGCTTGGAACAAATCGCTCGAGACGTCAAATATCGGAAACGTTGATTCACCTTCGCGTCGAATTCACGCGATCGCGGAACTTTTAATTGGATTCTGTCGCGCAACAACCTCTCCTCTTTTTTCTGTCCGTTTCCTTTTATTTCTTCCTATTCCACGTTGCAGGCGGTAGAACACCTGCGCCGCCGACAAGAACTTCGTGACGTTAAACGGAGCGGAAGTGGAGGTGAAGAGGCTCGGTCGAGCCGAGAAATGGGGAACTTACTATTTCTCGAAACTTGGAATTAGAATAATGCCGAGGTACGTCTCATTGTTGGAACTACCAAGCGCTGAAAAGTTTCCAGTCGAGCAGAACTAACGTTTCGATAGAGCTTCCGTGAGCCCGATGAAAATTTGATCGTACCGATGAAGGGAATATGAGATAGCGCGCTATCAAGGTAACGATGGAAAAGGAAAAATTCCAGTGAATACATTGTAAGTATTTAAAACTTAGTAACGCAAGTTGCTTTAATAATGAATTACGTGTACTCGAAACTGAGGCGCATATACCGCTTTAAAGTCAATAGTCCCGTACCAGAATTATTTTTGCAGGTAATATTAAATCCCGAGGCTTCTGAATATATTAACCCTTCGCGGACGAACGCCGCCATAATGGAAGCTTCGAGCTTCGATATCTAAATTCGAACGTTGCAAATGAAGAATTCGATTATTCAAATAACAAGAGATTGATATGTAGTTTTTTTCTAGTATTTAAAACTTCGATGGATAACTCAGCTTTTCCACGAGAAAGGTTTTCAAAAGTTTAACAGATTCTCGTCCGCAAAGGGTTAAAGCATTCATAAATCGAATAATAAAGTGGGATACGAACTTTACTTACAATTAAATCATTGATAGCGAGAAATATTCTATTCAGTGGAAGGGAAGAGAAGTTCATGAAACACTAAACGAGCGAATCTCTGTGGACAGGTGAACCGGAAGCGCGGGGATGGCCCCGTGAGACTAAAGGGGATGTCACGAGAGATTTTCTATTCACGTCGTAATTAGTGCAACGACCGGATGAATGTCCGTCCAGGTACAAAGTCGATGGAACCGAGACGGGTCATTCGAAATAACGTCTTTATTCGTGGCTCGGCAAACAACCCCGGCCGCCGAGACACGCTCAGAGCGGGATCAAGAGGTCACGATGGAAAGTCAGAAAGCAGGAGGAAGCACTTCAAACGAACCTGGACGCGATCAACCCGGGAACCTTTGATCTATTCCCCGCTCTTCGATCGACTATATTTTTTCCAACTATTTTTAGCTCCCGTCGCTGCCGTTTCCGTCGACGTTTTCAATAATCCGTCAAAGGGGGACCAGGTTTTTCGACGACATCATTCGACAGCTACCATTTATATTTTTCTTTGTAACCTTATACTCTTCTGTTTACTATCATCTATTGTAACGAGATACGTAAAGGAAAAATAATATTTTTAAAATGTTCGATTTGCCTGAATTTCAAGATTTTTCTCGAATTCCATTACATATTACTCTCGAACAAGATTACGTAGGTGGTACGAGGTTCATATAAACTCGAATCGAAAAGAAATTAGACTCGGCGCTCGTTGCATTTCGCCCGCGCGGGCGAAACCAACTTCCTTCTTTCAATATTTGCTCGTGTAATATAGCTTTTTCTGTTGTCTGGCGCAAACACGGCTCCCTGAAACAGGGAAATCTTCGTGCAAAGCCCACGAGGCACGAAACAGGCAGGTTTCATAACTTATCTCTCGCACACCAGGTGTTTGCACGGGACAAGATGTCGTAGGCGGAACTCAGGGGGCGAACGCACCCCTGGAAGAGATCAGAACCACCCGGTTGAAACAGTAAGCTATACAATTGTTGAGACACACACTACGTCCCTCGGGAGTCGTGTAAATATGAAAACGCCGTCATCTCTTTTTCACCTCCCATCTTGAATTTATCAATGAAATATCTGTGATATCTTCGTATCTTCAATTTCATTGTTCACTCTCCCAACAAGTGTTACGTATTCCACGAATTAAACCGAATAAAGATAGCATCCAATTAAAAGAGAACATTTTCACGAGAGCTGGACAAGCTGTAATAAAGATTATCCTTCACAAGTCTCTTTAAATATGAAGTTTCCTTCTCAACTTTCCTCAACAAAGTACATAGAAACGTCTAACCTCGTACAGATTAAAACCCCCAAGAAACGTGCACGTCTCAATCTTTTCTCAGTCGAATCTCAACTTCGCCTTTACCCAGCGTATAATTTATATAAGCTTCAAGGAAAGGCGCGGTGATTTATGCCGCAGACTTGCTACGCGTATAGACCCAATTCGAACTAGTTAATATCTAAATAAAAGAAAAACCTCGGCGTACTATTTAATGAAAACTTTCTAATACTCGTGACTAATATCTAGATTCCAATGTATCCGCATACATTACGAACCTTCGATTATTCTTATACTCAGCAAACATACAACTAATCCACTGTTTCTCGTTACTAACATTCGAATCGCGAATTTGTCCTACCTTATTAGCTCCGTCTTCAGTGTATCGATTCTTCAGAACCCGATCTAAATAAATAAACATCCATTCACTGTGACAAGTTGGAAAACAACCGTCGCGTCTCATCGGGGCGGAATGAATTTTAAAGGTAGACCGAACGGAGCCAGAAGCAGAATTCAGCCGATTGAAACAGGCAGGTAAGACCGACGGAAACTTTTCACGCGGGCGGGATCGCTGTCGACGGAAGTGCTCCGCCATGATGGTTTCCGCTGTTCAATGAATTATAAGGTTCACTCGGAAATAACTCACCTTTCCACGTCGCGATCCAGGAGCGCCGGCGTGCTGGACGCTTTGATACGCCTCTGCGCCTTGCTCAGACCTGGAATTCGTCTTCTCTCCTTGCCGGAGTACGCGGCCGAGCGCTGATCATGCAACGGCTGCAACGGAAACATAATCGGAATTATTTCGCAGGCCGATAATTACGCGAAGCGCCCGATCGGCGTACCACTAGACGGCGAAACGGGGAACCGGCGCGATAACCTCGCACGCGGCGGAGTTGCGAGCACCCGTCGATCTTTCCCATGATTCGACACGCACGAACGCCCTCGATCGCTAGGTCCCGCGTATCTAGGTCCCCGCTCATCGGAAAGAATATATAATAACAAATTATTCGATCGGGCACGGTTGTTCGGGAATCGTTTCGCAAGTGGAACGCTTGATTTATTCGATTCGCCTACTGACTGGGACACCGTAATCCGATTTCATTTGCAATTGTTTATTTAGGCCTTCATTTTTGCGGGAAACACGGGGATGAAGAATGATTGTTTCCGAGTCGATGGAATTGTAATTATATTCTCATTTGGTTTAGCTTTCGATTGAAATCATGTATGCATATGCGAACGATTGGTTTTCTTTTAGAAAGGAGAATATGCTTCGAAGGTGAGACATTTTCCTCTGTTTCCTTTGTTAGTTAGAATATTACGCTGAATGTTTTGGGAGATTGTTTCAATTTGATCATTTTATGCTGATAACGTACAAAGTGACATTTTTATCATTTTATGCACCATTGTTATCATTGTGTATGAGTGACGCAGAAGATAAGTGAGATTAATTGTTAATGTATCATTGTTCTGCTTCACCGTCGACCTATGAAAGCGTTCTTCCGCTTTCCAGGTGTAATGACCGCAGATCTGTGTATCGTGTAATGATTTTCGCCGTGGCCGCTGGCACTGTTCGGCGTTGTCACTCGGAAATGAAGAGGGTGCAAGCGGTAAGGTGCCACAATGGCTGATGGTATCTGCGGTCGTCTCCTTCTCGTATACGACGTTTCGCTAATTAAAACTCGCCAGTCGCTGGAACGGCGCTTTCCACGCTGTATTTTAATGTTTCAATAAAATCTGCGTCTGTCCACGGTTACGCTTGCCATACTTAATTATTTCAGAGCGACACGCGGCAAAAAGAGAACCTTCCGATCCAATTATTTTTAAAATATCGCCCGTTCCGGCCGAACCGCGATCGTTTCTTGGTTCGAATGATTCCTCCGGCCTCCCGCCGGTGCGCCGGAAGAAAGTTTTTAAGTGCCCTCGAACAAGTGTATAATTGGATTGAATTTATTAAAAATTTGTATGGACCACCGTAAACCATTAAGTCGGATGAGAATAAACGATAAATTATTCTTTCTATGTTCGATGTGTGATAATTTTCATGAAAATATGGTTAAATTCTGCACAAAGAATTCAAGAAATTCAATAATATATGCGACACAAATTGGCCTCGAAGTTGTAAATGAAATTAATTGCGCTGGGACTCGTAAATTTCCTGCACCGTAAAAAGCGTAATTATCGGAACGAGCTCTTTGGTCATACGCGTTTCGCTTCTCCTTTTTTTAATGGTTTTACGGTCTTTCGTTCGTCCGAAAGAATTCGGCGTACAGTTGCCGTTACAGTGTGCAGTCGTTCGCTCCGCTCTGATCGATACGCTTGTAACGCGTCGATTGTCGGAGTAATACAGACGGCCTTTACAATTGTTAATGCGTCGTTTCTATTGTTCCAAAATACAAGCCACACACTGACAAGTACACACACTAATCCGAATGACTGAAGCATTAAATGCTCACGATTTTGTTTGGTCCAATTCCAACACTCGGTGCCGCTTGTAAAACTCATGTCAATGACTCTGGTTCTCTCACAAAACATCGCCTCCTCCACTTAAACACAGGAAACAAACCCAAGAATGCATTTCAGATTTCGAGCAGTGATTCAGCCAGGGTAATTCCACCGCGCGTATCGCGGCGCACCACGGCAGAAGCCAAACACTGTCAATGAATATTTTCCGGCTGGCGGAATTTGTTTTGCGGCTGAAATACCGCGCCGCTTGTAAATT